ACAGAACCCACTTCAGTCCTCTGGCCCCCCAACCCCTGCACCTCTCCTGTTTGCACTCTCTCTCTCAGAAATAAATAAACACACACAAAAAAATTAACCATTTAAAAAAAAAAAAGGACAGAATTTGCCTCCGAAAAGAACAAAAACAAGAGGAGGGAAAATGTCAACAACTGCAGTGAATGTAGATATTAGCTTGTCAGTTAACCCTAAATGCTAGAGATCTGACAAAAAGTCAGATGAATAGCATTCCTAATTGCTCTCCTTACAAATGTATTTACTTTTAATCTTTTTTTTTTTTACGTTTATTTTATTTTTGAGAGAGAGAGACAGAGTGAGAGCGGGGGAGGAACAGAGAGAGAGAGAGGGAGACACAGAATCTGAAACAGGCTCCAGGCTCTGAGCCATCAGCACGGAGCCTGACATGGGGCTCAAACCCATGAACTGTGAAATCGTGACCTGAGCCAAAGTTGGAGGCTTAACTGACTGAGCCACCCAGGTGCCCCATAAATTTATTTATTTTAAAGTTTCTCACATTTGTTTTAAGCTATGCCTTGGCATAAATTCATTATGACTTTTCAAGTGCTGGTTTGTATTCCATGTGTAACTGAAAAACAAACATAATACAGCACTGTAACTCTAATTTTACACTCCACTTATTAAGGAGCTTAGTAAAATCTCATTTTAACCTAGAATCACTAAGTCAGAATCTTTAGGACTAGGGCCTAAAAATCTGTTTTTTTTGTTTTTTTGTTGTTTTTTTTTTTTTAGTTTCCCAGGTGACTGTGAACTCTTGAAGAAACATTGCTAGACTCCATCTGGAGCTAAAACCTGGTTACACAGGCTCCGGATAAAGGTCAGTGTAGTGTTTCACACAGGATAGCTACCTCTAGCCCATGGAAACATCCTGTCCTTTGCCTACCAAAATTGCTCAAAAACTCATCGAGGCGGAGAGGTGCCAATATGCCCTCACAGTGGCTCCAAGTGCATATACAACCTAGGAAGCATGCAGGGTAGAACACTTACCTTCTGAGAGTCGTTCCTTCCAGCCTTGGGCTGCTGAAGTGAAGAACTCATTGTTAAGGGCTGAGCCATTTAACTTCATCAGACCATCTGGACCAACCTGGGTCAAAGAACAAGCCAAGAAAAGCTAACAATGAAAGCCAAATGTATCTTGTGGAATTTGACTTTATTTTAGAGAAGAATGTATACACATTTATACATATATATTTAATTTTATAGAAACATGACTAGATCATACCATACTGCCTATTACGGATACTCCTGTTTTATCATGTATCACTTTTTTCTAATAAATTTCTTTCCTGATTACCTCTCCTCCCTTCTTCCTCTACTCTCAATTCCATTTCCCATTTATTCTACTCAAAGAATCATCTGCAAACAAATACATATACATCTAAGAAGTTCTTTTCTTGAGAGGTTTATTATTTGTTTTGTAAAACTGTGACCAATCTACACACACTCCTCTGAATCTAATTTTTCTCACGTAATACACTATGGAAGTCTCTCCAAGTCAACAGGCACAATGTTAGCCTTTATAATAGCTGCATATTTTTTCATTGTATGTATGCACCTCATTTCATTTACCCAGTTTCTTTTTTTTAGCTTTGCTTTTAAGAGAGAGACAGAGAGAGAGTGAGCGCCTGGGAGGGGCAGAGAGAGAGGGAGACAGAGAATTCTGAGCAGGTTCTGCACTGTCAGCGCAGAGCCCTATACAAGGCTTGAACTTACGAACTGAGAGATCATGACCTGAGTTGAAATCAAGGAGCTGGATGCTTAACCAACTGAGCCACCCAGGTGCCCTCATTTACCAGTTTCTTAATCATAAACATACACCTTGTTTCCAATGTTTTCCCATAATGAACCAAGCTGCAATTAGCATTCTGGTAAAGATGAACATACCAGTGCTTCTATTTCTGTGGAGTAAGTTCTAAAAGCAAAGCAATATTGTGTGTGTAAGCAGGGATTGTTAGACTATTTTCCAAAAAAGGCTACAATTCATATTTCTATCAGAAATATATGCTTATCCTATGAACAACAGATGTTAACCAGACTATTTTCTTTTTGGCCACTCTAATGAGTTTGAAATGGTAATTTCCTTTACCTTGACTACTGGAATTTTATTCACCTTTTTGCATGTTTATTAATATTTAGATTTGCGGGGCGCCTGGGTGGCTCAGTCGGTTAAGTGTCCAACTTCGGCTCAGGTCATGATCTTGCAGTTCATGATTTCATGCCCCACATCGGTGTCTGCTGACAGCTTGGAGCCTAGAGCCTGCTTTGGATTCTGTGTGTCCCTCTCTCCCTGCCCCTTCCCCACTCTCACTCTCTCTCTCTGTCTCCCCTTCAAAAATAAACATTAAAAAAAATTTTTTAAAGAAAATTAAAAAAAAATATTTAGATTTGCCATCTTGTGAAATTCTTATCATTTGCTCATTTTTCTATGAGGCTGCTTATTTTTATTATTAACTTGTGAGAATCTTTTACATAGTACTCTTAGTAAAACTAGAACATATATTAAAAATATTTCCCTCAATCAATCTACTGGTTTGATTTGTGATGTCTTCCCAAAAGGTTTTAAGGTTCTTTATATTAGAGATTTTGGATTTCCTATCTTGGTTTAGAACCATAAAATCTTATTTAAGGACATAAAACACAAGATATGAAAAATCTTGCAGATTTTGCATTAACAAAATGATTTTGAAGTACATATGGAAAAAAATAAGAGAAAAATCGCCTTTCCAATTATTAAACATACCACACACAAAGCCACTATAATCAAAACTATTATTACTAGCGTTAAAAGGAATAAAGAAATGAATGGAAGAGGAAGGTGTGCATGTAAACACATATTGCATACAACTGAATAAAATATATAACAAAGATGGTATCTCAAACCGTGACAAAAAAATCGTTACATTAAATACGTGGTGGAGGAACAAATGGCTATCTGTTATTCAGTGGAAAATAAAGGTGAATCCCAATTTCTGAGCAATACAAAAAAAATTCTAGATAGATTAAAAGTTTAAATGTGGTCAAAAACAATTTTCTGAAGAAAATTTATAACTATTTGGACATCCTACAGATTAAGAAACTCACTTTCTACACCTACCTGGGCCCATATTATGTTCCCCTAGCTCTAGAGCAGAAATTGGTGAACTTTTTTCTGTTAAAGGAGAGACCGCAAATATTTTAGGCTTTGCAACGCCATAGGGGCTCTGTTGCAAGTACGTAACTCTGCCTTGCCGCATGATGGCAGCTACAAATACGTAAACTAATGTTAAGTGGCTATGTGCCGATAAAACTTTATTTACAAAAGCAGGTTGTGGGCTGAAATTGGCCAATGGGCTACAGTTTGCTGACTGATGATCTGTACTCTAGGGAGCTGGCAGGGGGTTAACAGTCTTCCCTATAAGAACTAATAGTCTTCCTTATAAGAACTCTTATAAGAACTCTAAGAGGTCAGCCAACCTCTGCTTGAATAGCTCAGTGATGAGCAAGTTACTCCATCACAGGTCACTCCATTTTAACAGCTCCAACTGTTAAAAGAAAAATGTTATTTTAACTCCACATTTGCTTTCTGGAAACACAAAAAAGTTTACCTCTTTCATTTGACAGACCTTCAAATATACCTAAAGAGTGCTCCAGTCCCCTCCTATATTCTTTCCTCTGGTTTAAATAATGTTTTTCTACTTTGTGGCTGGGCATTCCATATACAGAAATGTTGTTTTCAATGTTTCATCCTAATACCCAGAATTCTATAAACACTCCAAACTGCATCTGACAGTGAAGTTAATTTGAGTTCCATACTTCTATAGATAAGGACATTATTTCTCAAATTACTGTGTGTTCCCACTGTAATCAAATAAGTCCAACTAATGCCCCAATAAGAATTCCCCACAAGGGCACCTGGGTGGCTCAGTCGGTTGAGCATCTAACTTTGGCTGAGGTCATGATCTCACAGTTTGTGAGGTCAAGCCCCACATCGGGCTCGCTACTGTCATCATGGAGCCTGCCTCAGGTCCTCTGTCCCTTCCCTGCTTATGTTGTCTCTCTCTCTCTCTCAAAAAAAAAAAATAAATAAATAAACATTGAAAAAAAAAAAAAGAATTCCCCACAGGATTGCACTCTATAGGAAGATGAATAGATAACGTTCAAGATACCTTTTAATTCTAAAACTGTATGTGGCAGTCCTCCTTCTGAGACAGGATAAGGACCATTAGTCAAAAGACCATTCTAAGGAACCTGCACTAGAGTTCTAGAGATGGGCCCTCAGTTAGGTCCCATCTTATGATTCCCAATAACTTAAGTCTGTAAAATAAAGATGAGAACAATCCTTATTGAGAAATTCTCTAAAAACTTTGCAGAAATGTCGGCCTCCTAACTTGTTCGAACCAAAAACTAGGCATCCCAAACACTGTACTTTCTCCAAGAAGTGTTAAGGTGGGGAAGGCAGGAGCTGGGGATGATCAGCTTACTTACTTCTTTGTCCCTACTGCTGGTTACTACCAGCACCTGACTTACTTGGTCTCCTTGAAAATAGAATCTGACCTGCTTGCACATGTGCTGACTCATAGCACAAGGTGACTGAAAGTGGTATCAATGCAGTTGAATAGAAAGATGATTTTCAGAATTTTCAAAAATAGAAATATTTTGTTTTGACATTATAGTCAATTAGCTAGGATAATGTGTGTAGCTTACTTACTCTCCTTTAATCTCTTAGTATAAACTAGAGGGATATATTTAGTTTTTTTATTGTGAACTAGGGAAAACCCTTCTTTCTCATCTTGTTTTTATAATGATTAGGAAAAATGGGAGAGGGCCTATCAGATTACTTAGAACACAGTATGTGCTTGGAAATAATGAATTAAAAAAACAAAAACTCAGAATTTAAAAACCCTCAGAATTGAATAAATCTTAGAAAATCAAAACGGTCCTATTATAGAGGAGGAAACATAATTAGACATGGGGGGGGGGTGACTTTCAAGTAACTCTTTCTCTGATGAAAGCCTAAGTCTCTGATCGTTACCTAATTCCTGACCTAAATCTCCCTGGTCTCTTCCTAGACTCTTCTCAAATTTGATATTTCTTCTAGCTATCTCTTTTAAGACTATAACATAATTACTGGGCTTTTAAAATTCTTCATATATATATATAATATTTTAAGTTTACTTATTTTTTCAGAAAGAAACAGTGCGGGAGAGTCAGAGACAGAGAGGGAGAGAGAGAGAATCCAAAGCAGGCTCTGCACTGCCAGCATGGAGCCCAACGAGGGGCTCGAACCCACAAACCGTGAGATCATGACCTGAACTGAAACCAAGTCGGACACTTAACTCACGGAGCCATCCAGGTGCCCCTTAAAGTTCTTTATTATGAAAACAATAAATGTTTCTTAAAAATCTAACAAAATAATGAAAATAATTAACACTCTTACCCTTTTCAAAAAATCCATTCAAGAACCCCTATTTAATGTCCGAAATAAGACAACTCTTCTTCCTGAACTGTATTCAATGAATGCCTACCGAGTATGATAGCTACACAAATTTTATTCCACAATTTTGACATTCTGATGAGATTTTTTCCTTTGTAAGACTTACAGGGCAAAATTCTTAAGAACACTTCCATAAAAATATTCTTATTTCTTGTTCAGTAGCTTTGACACCACTTCTTTACAAGCATACAGAAAAAGCTATTTAAAAAGTCTTAAGGAGTTCTAAAGGGGATGAGTGAAGAAAGCCTCAGAAGGGTTTTTGAAAACTGCTTATGCTTGAAAATAACGCACCTGACGATCCACCTCTGGAAGGAGTAAAAGCAGTCGCTGCTGGCAATCTCCAGGAAGGACTGAAAAGGTGTGTTTGTTGATCAGTGCTCGTAGATTTGTGTTAACCAGAATGGAGTCTGGTGTCTCAACATCAATTTCAGCACATTTAGTCCTTTTCATTTGCCCTATAAAAATAGGGGAAAGAATCATTTAGGCCTCCTTTACGTTCCTGTTTCTATCTAGAGTACAGTTTGCTCTGCAGTGCAAAAAAATGACAGTTGTAACTATTTTAAATATCACGCTGTGAAGAAGGGAACACTTACGGTATTTAGAAATTTTCTTCCAAGACTAACAAAAAGCAAGGTGTGGCACATACGCAAAATGATCAAAAAAAATCCAGAAAAATTCAAATCTATATAATAAATCATATTGGGATCCTTCTTCCCTTTCCATGGGAATTCTTTCATCAATTTTCATTACCTAAAAATGTTATGACTGAATAGCTTAGTGGTTTCAAGAAACTTGGTCACAATCAGAAGGTTATATTCTTTCAAAAGACGGACAGATTTCAGTACAAAAAAAGTTTCAAATGTAAATGGCAAAAAATATCATAAACAAAAGACTAACTTGACAAAAATATTTGCAAGCCATGACAAAACTTTTGTGATTCTCCATATTAAAAGTGAATTGATATGGGGTACCTGGCTGACTTGGTCTGCACAGCGTGCAACTTTTGATCTGAGGGTCATGAGTTCAAGCCCCACACTGAGCCTAGAACTTACTTTAAATAAATAAATAGGTTGCTAGATATTAAAAAAAAATTTTAATGCATCTACAAATCAAAATGAAAAAGATAATCACCTTGAGAAAAATGAGCACAGGGGATTACAGGCAATTCACAGGTGACTAACCATAAACAGACACTACGATATTAATATTTTAAAAATTCCAGTAAAACCAATGAACAGTTTTTGTCTATCAAAATGGCAAATACTGCAATACAGTGATGAGATTACACAAAGAAAAAGCTAAGACCACCTTCAAATACTGCTGATGGGGCCCAAATGAGTACAATTTTATTAGAAGAAAATTTGATAATATACAGCAAAATTTTAATGTGCACAGGAATATAAGACTCAGAAATTCTACATTTAGAAACATATGCACAAAGCTACACAACCCTGAATGTGCATAACGTCTGCTCCTGGATGAAGCAGAAACAAAAGTAATCTATTTTTTTTAATGTTTTTTTAATGTTTTTATTTTGAGACAGAGAGAGAGAGAGAGAGAGAGCAGGGGAGGGGCAGAGAGAGAGGGAGACACAGAATCTCGAAGCAGGCTCCAGGCTGTGTGCTGCCAGCACAGAGTCCAACGCGGGGCTCGAACACACAAGTTGCGAGATCATGACCAGAGTCAAAGTCAGACGCTCAATCGACTGAGTGACCCAGGTGCCCCCAGAAGTAATCTCTCTTAAGCGGAAAGAGTTAGGCCCATAGGATTCCTACAAATTAAGATCCAGCGTTATCTCACACAGACTACCCTGACAAACCAACAGACACTCCACTATGACAGAGAATCAACAGAAACCAAAAATAAAAGGTTTAGACCTAAAAGTACTGCTATTAATGCAACTGTTACAGATAGAATACAAAATAGCGCTATATAAAAGGATTTAAAAAATAAAGAATGTGATTGTAAAGATGGGGATAAAATCATCAGGAATGAGCACAATCAGGTCTCAGTGAATTTCAAATAATATTAGTAGTAATCATAACTACAATGACCAATAATAGCAGCTGTAAACACTTCTGTAAGGCTTCGTAAGTGCCAGGCACTACTCTAAACATACACGTGTTAGCTCATTTATTTTTCATGTAACCCTATGAAGTAGGAAACTATTATTATACATTTCACAGAAGAAGAAAGTGAGGTCCAAAATGGCAAGTAAGTTGCCCAAAATTGTACCAGTGATTAGAGTGAAGGAATTTGAACCTAGGCATCATGGCTCCAGAGTCTGTTATTTATCAGTATAGTGTAGAGGCACAGGTATCATACAGTGCATGATCTCTGATTACTAGGTATTTAAGTTAAAAGTTCATAACAGGAACATAAAAATCCCTATATATTTGTATTTTAAAGACTTCATTTTTAAGTAATCTCTATGCCCAGTGTGGGGCTTAAACCTATGACCCTGAGATCAAGATTCACATGCTCTACTCGCTGAGTCAGCCAGGTGCCCGCAAATCCCTATGTATTTTAAGAAAATAAAAAATTTTTAAGTTTGTTTATTTATTTGTTATTTTATTGTTTGAGAGAGAGAGAGAGAGAGAGAGAGAGAGCGCGCGTGCACGCATGAGCAGGGGAGAGGGGCAGAAGGAGAGAGAGGGAGAATCCCAAGCAGATTCCATGCTGTCAGCACAGAGCCTGAAGTGGGGTTTGATCTCACGCACTGTGAGATCATGATCCGAGCTGACACTTAGCCAAGTGAGTCACCCAGGCACCCTTAAGAAAAATTTTAAAACTTCAAGATAATTCCTGGGACAGAGAAGAAATCACAGTAAAAAATTTTAAAACTTCAAATTGGATGATATTAAAAACAGAATTTGTGGGGCGCCTGGGTGGCACAGTCGGTTAAGCGTCCGACTTCAGCCAGGTCGCGATCTCGCGGTCCGTGAGTTCAAGCCCCGCGTCGGGCTCTGGGCTGATGGCTCAGAGCCTGGAGCCTGTTTCCGATTCTGTGTCTCCCTCTCTCTCTGCCCCTCCCCCGTTCATGCTCTGTCTCTCTCTGTCCCAAAAATAAATAAACGTTGAAAAAAAAATTAAAAAAAAAATAAAAACAGAATTTGAGAGATAAAGGTAAATATCCCCCAAATTAAAATAGTACCAAAATATATAAATGAAAAGTAAAGTCTTCTACATTCCCAGCTTTCTACCAAAAGGGACATTTTATTTACATTTTTATATTTTTTTAAGTTTATTTATTTTGAGAGCGAGAGAGAGAGCAAGCGAGCGAGTGTGCACACAAGCACACATATAGGGGAGGGGCAGAGAAGGAAGGAGAGAGAGAGAATCCCAATTAGGCTCTGTGCTGTCAGTGCAGAGCCCAACGAGGGGCTCAATTCCATGAACCATTAGACCATGACTTGCGCCGAAATCAGGAGTAGGATGCTTAACGGACTGAGCCACCAGGCACCCCAAAAATGACATTTTTAATTTGAAATGAAATCACAATATACATACAAATTATATTTAGTCTTTTCTTTCACAGAATATTTTAAACATCTTTCCAAACTATCACCTACAAAACTCTTTTTAAAAAGCTGCACCATATTCCAACATACATACTATGACTAACTTAATTAGGCACCCACTGAGGATCACAGAGGTGATCATTATTTGGTTTGCATAAACAATGTTGCAATGGCCCCAAGGACTGAGAGCAACATCCTACTATTGCTTCCCCATGTGACCGATGAAATGAGAGTGCCAGCATTCCTTGAACAGTTTTCATTATTTTTGCATTCATTTTGTACCTTCACATCTGAGTCAAACTGGAGTTAAAACTTGAAATTTTTTTTTTTTTTTAAGTAAGCTCTACGCCGAATATGGGACTTGAACTCATGACCACAAGATCAAGAGTTGCATGTATTACCGGCAGAGCCAGCCAGGCACCCCATTGATTTTAACCTAACTCCTTAAGACTTAGGAGTTACAAATTAGTCTGTTCTGTTATTGATCAAATAGTGCCCATGGATATTTTTATGTGCCTCAGACAAACTGGCTCATTTTTAGAATTTAAACTTCATGTCCTCTTAAAAGTCAAAAGTTGACCCTGGTTTGTTTGTTTTTTCCTTCAGTTTAGGTTGCCACATTCTATCGTATTATACTTGATATCTCAGCTATCTTTATTTTTCTGATTGAATCTGGGACATAAAAATATATACCATTAATTTTAATGAAGTTACAACAAACTATACCAATATTAACTAAACAAGTTTTGTGTAAATTATCTAATTTAGTTTTATCATTTATATTTTACACAAAATGTACAACCTCTTCCATAGATTTAAAAAATACTCATTGTGGCATGTATTGTAAAAATTCCCATATTATTTCCATTAATGCTTATTTGCATGAGAGGAGATGAACCTGCATTTACTCCTTGGCCATGAGGTGAAAGTTAGATACACCATGCTTTCTTTTTTTTATGGTTAATTTTTCCTAGTTTGTTAGTATGCAAGCCAGAAATTTGCAGTCCATAATTTCTCAATTTTTTACATTTACATTTCTACTGCAGTTGAATGAAGATACTAAAATTGTGACTTTGACTGCATTTAAGTAGAATATAGTCTCCATAAGGAAGGAACTTTGTTCATCACCACATCACTAGGAACTTGTGTTTGGCATATTAGTATACCTTCTATAAGTAGTTATTTAATTAATGAATATTTTGAATCCTTGGCAGTGGAATTGATGATCAAAGGGTATGCTCAGTTCACGGCAGATACTGCTTCTAAAGAAAAATGCACCATTTTACAATCCACCCAGATTCAAACCTGATTTTTACAAAGAAGTTGTCTGGTTGCTGGACAGCAAAGAAGCAGGCACCTCAAGCAACTTATTGACTCGGCTCTTAATTTCATCGCTTATACTGTGCCTGGTAATCTTCAAATTATTTCTCCTGCCTGCCTTACACCTCACTTCTAAGCGTCTTCTTGGGGAGCAAAAACAAATTAGATTGGTTCTGCTCTCTGCAGGTGCCTGGACACCTGAGCCACAGCTCCTATGGGACTGGAAATGTCTCTAGGTATCCATATTGTAGCACAATTTTCCAAAAACACCATAATTAAAATTTAAATCAATCCCAGAAAGGCAAGTGTTGGATTTCAAGAATTCTTTCTTCTCCCTTTTCTCTTTTTAAAGATTTTATTATTTTTAAATAATCTCTATACCCAGTGTGGGGCTTGAACTCACAAACCCGAGATTAGGAGTTGAGTACTCTACCGACTGAGCCAGCCAGGTACCTCTGGAATTCAGGAATTCTTACTTATTTTGATAAATAATCTGTAAAATCAAACAACAATAAAAACCCAAAGAAGCTGTCTGAAATATTATTAATTCTGTTCTCACACTTAATAGTGTGGAAGGGTCTGGAACATAGAAGTGGGTATACAATGACTTCTTCCAATTTTATCACCATTGCCACACTATCTTTTAGCTTCTATTCTGCTTCTGAGATGTTCACCATCCCAATTCCTACATCTTTGTACACGAAGTGTTTTCTTTCTCTCTGGAGGCTTTTTTGGAATCTTCTCATTATCCTGGATGCTTTGAAATTTCAAAAGAATGTGCCTTGGAATGGGTTTCTTTTTATTCATGTTTCTTGACACCAATTGTGTACTTTTACTCTGGAATCTCTGACTTTCAATTCTCTGGAATTTTTTCCTTTTTTTTTTGTTTCTGGAATTTTCTTATATTATTTTTCTTTTATCTTACTCCCCGTTCAATTTTTGTTCTTTCTGATGGTCCTATTATCAATTTTTTTTAATGTTTATTTTTGAAGGAGAGAGAGACAGAGCATGAGCATGCGAGCAGAAGAAAGAGAGAGACAAACACACACACAGAATCTGAAGTAGGCTCCAAGCTCTGAACTCACAAACCACAAGATCATGACCCAGCTGAAGACCTAGATGTTTAACTGAATGAGCCACCCAGGCAAACCTAAAAATGTTTTATTTTTTTCTTTTTGAGAGAGAGACAAAGAGGAAGGGAGAGAGGCAGAGGGAAAGAGAGAATCTTAAGCAGGCTCCACACCCAGTGCAGAGCTGATGCAGGGTTTGATCTCATGACTGTGAGATCATGACCTAAGACGAAATCAAGAATCCAACGTTTAACAGACTGAACCATCCAAGTGCTCCTCTGATGGTCATACTATTTTAGACATTAGACATTCTAGATTGGTATTCCAATTTTCTTACATTCTCTCTCCTTTTGAATCTCTCTTTTGCCCTATGTTTGAGAAATTTCTTTACCTTTTAGTATTTCCATCATAATTTTTTATTTAAGCTACATTATTACTTAATACCGAGAACTCTTTATTTTCTGATTTTTAAAATAGTAGTCTATTCTTTCATGGATGCAATATCATCTTTTATTTCTTTCTGTGGATATTATAGTTTTTAAAGTTGCTTGTTTTAAATTTTCCTGAATTGTCTGTTTCTTCTGTATCTGTATTTCAGATTCTGTGTCTCATGATAGACGTCTTCAAAGGTGATTGTGAACAATCACAATTGGGAAAAA